CCCTTTGGTTGGTGAAACAGAGATTTTTCTGGTTGGGCCTAGAGAAGGATGTCATCAGGAAGGTTCAAACTTGTCCCAACTGCCTGAGAAGGAAGTCACCAGCTAAAGCCCAAGCCCACTTGGTACCCTTTCAGAGTACACATCCTATGGAGTTGGTTTGTATAGACTATTTGTCTTTGGAGAAGTCTAAAGGTGGGTACGAGAACATTCTGGTCATCACAGATCACTTTACTCGCTACGCACAGGCCATTCCGACCCGCAACCAGACGGCACAGACAACTGCACGAGTCCTCTTCGAGAACTTCTTCTCCCATTACTCCTTTCCAGCAAGACTTCATAGTGACCAGGGAAGGAATTTTGAGAGCAAGGTCATCAAAGAGCTGTGTAGTATTGCTGGAGTCAAGAAGACCAGGACCACTCCATACCACCCAATGGGCAATGCGGTTACAGAGCGATTCAACTCCACGCTCCTCAACATGCTTGGTACCTTAGACTCTGCCGGGAAAGCCAATTGGAAGGACTACGTGAAACCACTAGTTCACGCCTACAATGCTACCAGACATGAGTCCACTGGATTTTCTCCCCATTACCTCCTTTTTGGTTGGCATCCTAGACTTGCTATTGACGCTTTTTTGGGAGTCAAGCACACCACCCCACAAGCCAGTAGCAGAGACAACTATGCTGCCAAACTCAGGAAGCGCTTGGATTTTGCTTACCAAGTTGCCAGAGAGAATTCAACCAAGCAGTCTGGTCGCCACAAGAAGATCTATGACAGTAAGGTGCGCCATTCAACTCTTCAAGTAGGAGACAGAGTCCTAGTCAAGAATGTGACCCCTACTGGAAAGCTGGATGACAAGTGGCAAAGGGACCCATACTTGGTGACAGCAATCCCAGACCAGACAGTTCCAGTCTATAGAGTAAAGAGGGAGAATGGCACTGGACCAACCAAGACCCTTCACAGGAATCTTTTACTTCCTCTTCACAGTATCCCTTATGAAGATACCAAGATTGACTCACCAAAGATCAGGCAAACAACCAGAAAAGTATCCACAACATCGGATAAGTGTGATGATCCGGACAGCTCAACAGAGTCAGATTCAAGCCATGAATCTGAAACCACCGAGAAGTATATTATCCCAGCTCGGAGGAGACCGGTACCAAAGCCCCGTGTCACGTTGGCCAGACCTGGGCAGCCATCTAGCATTCCTAATGTTATTTGTGATGGTACTCCTAGTAATTTTAATACTTATAGGTCTTCTTTTCAGATGGGTACACCTAGTTCAGAAAATTTACATTTCTCTAGGTCTAATTCTCATGTTAATTCTGAATCTCATGTTTCAGGTATTAATGATAATAATAATTTTTCTTTAGGTCTTAGGTCCGAGCCTCCAAGTGCCAATACCAGTAATCAGACTCAGCACCAGTCCACAGTTGACATTCAAAGACCTCAAAGAGTCCGGAGAGCACCGATAAGATATGGAGAGTGGGTAACACCAATCACTGCTGTTGTTAAAAATATTAATCAAGATGATGAAATTTATTTTGTATAGCATGGGAGAATGTCACGGGTATTAACATAAACAATTTTATGTGTATTTTTCCCATTTTCAGCTATTTTCAGCTTAAATTAACATTTATTCTGAATAAAATCCCTCAATTTAATTGTGTAAACATTTTTTAGTGTTGATTATGTATTATTACTAAAGTGTTTTGTTTTTAGCTCTCTTTTAAAGTAATCTATTAAGATATTTTTATTCCTGCAGGTATAGTTAAAACTCTACCTTATAATCAGTTGAACCAGAGATATATATGTATTTTCGCATTTATTTCGAATATCATTATATTTCAGCTATTTTGGGTTTATACCTTTAATTTCAGATAAACTGAGTTCAAACCTTTAAATTCAGTTAATTTGAGCATATTCCTTTATTTTCAGCAATATTGAGTCTATACCTTTAAATAAATTACTTTGGGTATATACCTTTATTTTTAAGCGGAAGCAGTTACATACCTTTAGTTGCCAGCTGAACCAGTACCTTTAAATTGATCAGCAATGTTTCAGATGACAAAACTTATTTTTATTTCAGCATTGTGTTTGACAGACACAAACTACTGTTCTATAAATTCATGTTATGTAATAGAAACATGTTATTTTCAAATGCAGTTCTGATTTTATATTGCAAAACAAATTTTGTTCTGTTTTTAATTTTATGGGTACGGCAGTTTTGAGACAGCTATTATATAGGTTAATAAAATGTCAGGAGCCATTTTCTCCTAGCAGGGGAGAATGTCACGGGTCGTTTTATTTATTATGTTAATTGTTCATTTTGCCGTGCACTGTTCGTCATTTAGTCGCGGGAAAAGTATTCTTAATGTCCGCGCATGCGTCGATTATCGTTTGTCTCCGTGGCGTCTGTTATCGTCTGCTATTGTATTGTATCGGGTGGTTCCGTAATGTACGTTTATTAGCGGAAATTCACGGAAACAGCCGAAACAATTCAACTATGTCTGTATCTCGTGCAATTTTGTGAACTGTTTTTGTATGTCCAATCGTTTTGTACGTTGTATGAAAGAGTTTTGAGAGAAAGTTTTAGATTGGTTTTTAACATTTCCTTTCTTCCAAATTCCCGCGAACTTTCCTTCTTCACTACACTTCGTCTTTATTCTCTTACGAGTTAAGATTAATAATATCTGTCATATTGTGCGGTTCGGATCGGAATATCCGTCCCGAGGTGACCCGCCCATTGGGCGGTAACGAGGCTTGCCGAGTTACCGCCCATGGGCGGGTGACCGAGGGACGGATATTCCGATTCCGAACCGCAAACATATGTCAGATATTTTTTCTTGCATATTCTACCATATTCCATTATATTTAAAATTCTTTATCTTTATTTACAATGAAAATTTATATCATTACAACCGTAACTACTTTCATTCAACAGCGTATGAATTACAAAATCATTCATAACGGTAAAATGACGTCATCTTTATCGTGCCATTGTACAGCACGCGACTCATCTGGAACCCCCCCATGCCAGATGAAATTTCCGGCATGGGTAAAACTAACGGAAACGCCAGTCTGATATGCAAGAAATACTATTCTACTTAGTACATAAATTCTATAAGTTTTTCCATAGAATTTTTGACAGGAAATAGCTTATTATTAAGTTATTTACTTTTTGTATTGAGACGCTGTGGTAAGATTATTTTCATTTGATTAATTTACTTGAAATAATTCTTATTTACATCGTTCAATTGTTGTATTTTATGTATGTTTTAATTAACTTGTATTATAATCATGTATTTATGTTTTTAGGCTTTATCTTCGTATTATATATTAAATTGACGAACCTACGCCAGGAGTGTATTATTAATTCTACCCTGTGACAAACTTTTAAGTAATGGACTGTTCTAAATTCAAAGCAGGGCACGCTCATTACAAATAAGGCATTTCAATCAAGGAATACTTCCAAATTTATGCATGACAGAAATGTGTTAGTATATTCCCTTTAACACGAAAGGCACATGCACGAAGTCATTATTACACGGTTAAAAATACTTGAAATAGCCTCATAATATTTTGTTCCGGAGCATTTTATTCTGTACAGTTTTCATTAAAAAAAAAACGTTGGAGAATCCACCGTCAGATTGTTGAAACGATGTTATTTTACTGTTAATAAATTTTATAATGTTTTTTTTTTCTTTGATATAATTAACTTTATATACGCTTTCAAAGGGAAAACTGACATACATGTCAGAGTATCAGCTTGAACTGGCAAATAACACGATTTGATTAGGGAAACCCTCTTATGAGCACGACATTTCCTGTCCAAGACTTAGCCGATTCCGTATATCGTCTCCAGTGTATGATGGACATCATTCTTCTTAAATAGCGGCATCTATCAACAAGGTGTTGTTTTGTTTCATACAATGATACTCATTTAAATGAAATAAGTGGATATTTCCTTGGTGTGGAGTTTATTTCGGCAGGGTCTTCAAATATACATTTGGGAATCATATCTGACCATTTTTAAGCATCAAATTAGCTGTGTGTGAATCAAATGCTAAGTTGCGGAAGATATTTTTCAGTATTATAAATTCGGGTCTTTGACCAGGGCAACTAATCCATGAACTATGATAACAATATATACAAAAGCAAGGTACGGCAGCAGACTCGAGAATTCGCTCTGACAAACATTTTTATCAAATCAAAAGAAGTCATCCTCTCTGTCTGAGAAGTTTACAGAAATTATCAATATACAAAAATTCTCCCAATGACTGCTCTGTCATGTTCACGCTAAAATCGACCATCATGCGTGATGAATTTTATGCAGGTACATGTACATCTGCATCATCACACAGCAAAAACATGCTAAATATCATTAGATTGGATTGAAACTTAGACAGAGCTCGAGTCAGAAGTTGTGACTAATGAAATGTGACTTTAAATTATAGTGCTTATTTGGTAAAGTGGGTCATAGATGGCCGCGGTAAAATATGCAGCCTCTCATCAGATTGGATCAAAATTGTCAAATAACGTATGTCATAGATGGCCACAGCAAAAACATGCTAAATATCATTAGATTTGATTGAAACTAAGACAGAGTTCAAGTCAAAAGTTGTAATTAACTAATGAAATATGACTTTATAGTGCTTATTTGGTTAAGTGGGTCATATATATACATTGTAGATGACCGCAGTTAAAATATGCATCAAAATTTTTAGGGAACGTATGTCATAGATGGCCACAGCTAAAACATGCTTAATATCATTATAGATTGGATAGAAACTCTTATGAAATGTGACTTTATAGTGCTTAATTACATAGCCGCAATAAATATGTGTATCCTCTCATCAGACTGGATCAACATTTTCAAATAACGTATGTCATAGATGGCCACAGCAAAAACATATTAAATATCATTAGATTGAAACAGTTGAACTTTTCATAGAATCGCTCTTGGTAGTTAAATATCTTTGGGGTAAAATGAAATAATTATCAAAGGTTGCGTAAAGCGGTCACTGACCGAGATTTTTAAGGAGGGAATTACAAGTTTACAAGTTCCCGCAATTTATTTGGCGTCTATTGTTTCGTGATTTTTTTTTAGGATCAGGCGGTTTAGCGATGATGGCTTCCACACCAGCACTTTCATCTCCTCTTATCAACAATACTCGACAGAATGGACATATTCAGGTATATATCCAGCAGGGTTTAATGTCTAAAAAAAATAAAATCCGCAAACTCGCGTGAAAGCGGAATTTAGTTTATTAGTTAAACAATATCACTGTGGCACTTATATGAAATCTCCAGATGTAATCCACTACTGTTTTTTATGTAGAATTTGGACATTATTCATGAAGCTTAATTTATGTAAGCACATATTGATGAAAATACAAAAAAAAATCTTTTTTTCCCCAAAAATTCCATGAAGCTTGGTCCTTGGACGGAAGATAACTTTCTGTCCCAGCATGAAGATCTACTTAAGAATAAGAAAATTAGCATTAATATTGAAGTGATCTTATACCCATTTTTTTCATTATTGCACAATTTAAGATGAAAAAAGAAAAAAAAAAACTTTTGTAATAAAAAATGCTCTTGAGCTGTTGAGAGTTATGCTGGCTGTTATTTTTCCATAGTTTTATACTAATAAACATTTTGATGCACACTAATTTATTTAACTTAAATAGGATTTTTTAATTGGGCTCTTCATTGCTCCAACAAAGGTCTTTCAGCTTTACTCAAATTACTGGTGTAAAGGTCTTTCAGCTTTACTTAAATTACTGGTGGTGGTCCTGGAGGAAGGCATCAGGTACCTGGATAGGTGTCTAGACTTTACACATCCTGGACCTTTCAGCCTTAGTCTTTACACCTCCTGGACGTTTCGGCCTTGGTCTTTTCACCTCCTAGACGTTTCCTGACATAAGACTGTAAAATACAATCATAAAAAATAAATATTAATACACAAAGATAACAAATGTGACAGAGCGTTACAAATAATCATATTTATCATATTATTTTTTTTTATTCAATAAATGCTTTTGGCTATATCCTGGATTAGGCCCTGGGGTCAGGGTTAGAATTTAGCAGTAATTTCTAATTGCAGATTTTTGCAAGTGATCATATGAGTAACTGGCAATATGATGTAGTCAACTGGCATTTCCATGATCACGTATCTTATTAATTTTATAATACACAATGACAGTGTATTTTGAACATATGGTATGACAAATGATAATAAGCTTGAATGTCTATTGAATGTCAGAAACATCTTTATCACTAATAAACACAAATCTTTTCTTGTAACGAAACAAAAACAATTCAACACATTAATTTATAAATGATAATAAATTGTTTAGGGACCAGATTAGATATACCAGAGGAACACCCACCAATGACAATGTACAGTTATAAACTTGTTCATGTAATTTTATTTCTTAGGACCTTCATTAATTTTAGCATATTTTGTACTTGATTTCACCAACATCCTGAAAACTCAGAGGTACTGATCTTCTTAAATAAATATTTCAGCTTAAAAGTAAACACTTTACAGAGGAGTGCTACACATTTACATTGGACTCTGTTATAAATAGTCCATCAAAATATAGTCACAGACAAATACTGCAGTAGAGCAACCAAAAATTGATTTTTAAGTTTTTATGGTAAACGTCATCAGTTACTGAATCTGGCACAGAAAACATCATCAGTTTCTGCAGCAGGGAGTTGCCAAGCATCATCATCAGCGCAGAAGATAACAATATGTAAACGTCCTAAATGAACAGTCACTTGCAAATAAATGCCAGCTAGAGTAATTTTTACTAGCAATATTAGATTTGAACTGGCATTTTGCCAGTATGCCAGCTTAAATTCGAACCCTGCCTGGGGTCTGAACTGTAAAACGGAAAACAAGGAGTGTATATATCAGGCTTTCTGAAAGTTGCTAGACGGTCGGACATGCCCGGCTAAAGTCAGGCTGGTCTGATCATTTTTCCCCGAATTCTGGTCCTTATGTCTGGTACGAATACCAAGATATATTAAGTCTGATCAAGACCGAGATTTCTCCCTTGAATAAAAAAATTCAAAACGAGTTTTTATTCAATGTTTCACTATAAGTGTCCAATCACATTTTAGATAAAGTTTCATGCAAACTTCAATGACCTCGTACTGAAGAAAATGTTGTTAAGTTAAACATTATTACAATGGCGCTGCTCCAGGTTAAAAACATTAATAAACTAATGAAGAAAAAAAGGAATACAATACCAGGTGCCTGCCTAGAAAATTTGTAGATGGAAAAATGGCCGCTCATTGTTAATCAGACTGTTTTGATGACACTGAAGAAATTGTACCCAGTTCTGATAGATAATGTGGAAACCAGACATCCATTTACTCTTACTCTACTGACTTGCACTGTGATATTTGTAACATAGCATTTCCTCGTCAAAATGCTTTTAGAAAATTAATTATAAAAAACATTAATAATTTCAATATTCATAAATAACTTACATTTTTAATAATCATTAAAAGAATTTCATTGTTGTATAAATATTTTGATAAAAATTACTTTTAGATTCTTAACTGATAAATTTAACAACTCTTATATAAACATGTCATAGTGGTCAATAAGGAAATATTATCACCTTTTGATTTTAATACTTTATGGCTTAATTCTCAATTTCCTAGTCTTTTATCAAACAAGCCATACTTGATTATCTTTTGACATTTACTACTAATATTGCTTTAGGCTTAAAACACTATGACAACTCTTTCTTAATTTATATTGTTGATTTTTATATTTTAAATTAGTCTTATTTTAATTTGGGAACATTCAACATCTTAAAGTCTTATATAGAATTTCGGACATATAACATCTAGTCTTATCTTAGAAAATAAATAAGTAAAATTAACATAGGAAAATTCAGGTGCTAGCTGTGAAAATATATATGTGGACTATATGATTATTTTGTATTTGAGAACTTACAATGGACTACAAAGAATAAATGAAATAACATCAACACTGGATTTTTGTGTTATAAAATAAGTCATCATAACAAAGAGGATACTGGATATCAGGGTTAAGAGAGATAAAATAATACACCAGTATCCCACACACCAACCAACCGAGGGTTTCCGTGTAGGGCGCTCACTACGCCAGCGAGTCCAATCCCCACAAACAACACCAAAGGAAAGGCCCTGCCGGCGACCCTTGGCTACAGATTAAGGACTCTAATTATGATGATGATAAGTAATATTTTGATTTCCAGACAGAGTTCATCAATCTTGATAAACTAAGACAGAAATCTTTAAAACTTGCTATGTGTGTGTCTTTAGAAAAACAACAAAGGCATTACTGTATACATATTTTTTTTTGGGGGTGGGGGGGGGGGAATCGTCCAGACAAAATTTCTTTCTGAAAGTTTGTCTGACTGAATGTCGGGCAAATTTTTCAGCAGTTTTGTGAGGCCTGATATATAGTTGATTTAATCATTTATATAGTATTTGTAGTATATTACTGTAAAAAAATGATGATAGTGTTTGTGATACACATCTATTAGGATCTATTCCAGGAGATTGCCATGCTTTTTTAAATAGAAGATCAAAGTTTAACATTTTAATTTTTACACAAGAATTGTAATAACATTATTACATAAAATCATGATTTTTTTTCTTATTTCAGGTTATATTTGGACCAATGTTTTCTGGTAAAACGTAAGTATTATTGATAATTTTTTTAACAGTTTTGCATTGAATTTCATTTAACATTGTGATTGTGCTTTTTTGTTGTTGTGCTACAAGAAGACTAAATTTACTAATGAAAGAAGGTTTCTTTGTTTTGATCTTGATTGCTGTTGTTTAATAATTTGCAGAACTGAATTGATGAGAAGAATGAAACGTTACCAGATTGCCAACTATAAATGTCTTGTTATTAAGTACGCAAAGGACACTAGGTATGATGAGGAAGGCATTGCAACTCATGACAGGTAAAACTTCAATTTATCTTAATTGGATTTTAAATAACGTTTACAGCATACATTGATCCTATTTAAAAAGATAGTATTTACTATTATATGGGATAAAATTATTGAATTATTAAATAAACAAACAAAAAATAGTTACAAATCATCAGCTAAAATGATTAGTTAATGCAAATTTCTTTTAATTTGTGTTGGAAGCTATAAGTTTATTGAAATACTCAAATCCGTTCCTAGAAGGAATAATTGTAAAGTTTCTTGCTCAAAAAAACAACGACTGCCTCTGACAGGGTTTGAACCAATATGGTCGGCAATCCTAAGATTACTAGCCCAACAAGTTAACCACTCGGCCACTCCAACTAATGATTGATATATGTTAATTTCTTTTTGTATTAAAACAAATATATAATTTCAGTGATGTATATTAAAGTTATTTTGTTTTTCTAGTTTTTGAAAATCAAGTACAAACAGTTGTATAAAATCATTGTGGTTATATTTACATGGTTGGATATCATCTTTCATGTCAGTCAGCATTACTTTTACATGTATGTATAATTACAGTCATACTTTTATGTTTTTAGACAAATTTTACCAGCAGTTGCAGCAACTGAACTAAATCAAATGGAACAATTATCAGACGAATATGAGATTATTGGAATAGATGAAGGCCAATTTGTAAGTCACTTTCGTATGCATTTGAATCAATTTTGATTCTTATTCTAAGGAAAATATAAAATATTGCTATGAATCAGTGAGTTGTCATTTGAACTGAGAGGGACTTTAAAAACCAAAGAATACGTAATAGAATATTTGTATCTTTTTGATGTATATTTATAAAAGTTTCATGTTAAATATTTTTTCTGAATCAGTCGTAATTTATTCATAATTGTTATGAGTTGACTGTTGTAGTGTCTACTTTTCAGGCTGTTATGAGATTTGTATACATAATTGTTTTAACAAGAATGCTTGTGGATTGTGGAAAGATAACTATTTAATATATTTTCTTTCTACAAGTTTGTAACTTGGTTTTTTTTTTTCAGTTTCCAGATGTAGTTTCATTCTGTGATAAAATGGCAAATAGAGGTAAAACAGTTATAGTAGCTGCATTAGATGGTACATTTCAGAGAAAGGTATGTATATATCATTACTTGATTGTCAAAATTTTTGTCATAAGTCTTCATCCCAGTCACATGGTGTGTCATGCGCAAGATCTATTTCTGCAACTTAAAGGTCAATGTCGGACTTTAAAGCTGAAGGTCAAATTGTGTTTGTTAACTCTCATCTTTGGTTATTAACTTTTATTCCTTGATGTATTGTCAAAATATTTGGCATACAGTATGTCTTTACCAGGATCATAGGCAACATCTAGGTCATGGTGGTACTTGGAGGTAAAAATTGTCATATTGAGGGAAATCCATGTCCTATGTATATAATATTATGTATGTTTATGTCATTATCATGCTAATGTATCTGTTGATTATTTTCAGGGATTTGGAGATATTTTAAATTTGGTACCATTAGCTGAGAATGTTATAAAATTGTCAGCTGTTTGTATGACATGCAATGCAGATGGGCATTTTACCAAAAGAACAACAAAAGATCAATCTGTAAGTTGATATTGCATTGCTTGTTGATAATATTTTAATTATCCGAGTGTATCCAAGTTTAAACATGCTTTAATGGAACTTTCTTTTGACATTTGTTTGGTCTTAATTATATTTACATTGAAACATAGGACATACAAATATTTTCATTTCAAGCATTGCATCTTAAGTGCTTCCAAGATCAAATTATCCGTATGTTTTGCATAACGGAAAAATACAAAAATCTTGCTTAAACACTATAGATAACAGAAACCTTGGTGTATTATTATATTCACTATGGTAACAATGCTTTCTTTCTCTCAATATTGACATGTGTTTTAGGTTGAGGTTATAGGAGGGGCGGACATGTACCAGGCTGTATGCAGGGAATGCTTCACATCACCTATCAAAAAGTCTCCAAGAAAGTCACCTCACAAGATACAAAAGACCATTCTAAAGGCTCCGTCAAATAAAAGTGAAACCCCAACTATCCTCGCGGAAAGGTCCATGCAGCAGATTCAAAATGCAGCTAACAGACAATTATTCATCAGTTCACCACCAAGAATATGAGATTCATGACCAAACACATTTTGTAGAATTTATTTTTATACATATGATTCTGATCTGTTTAACTAGCAGTCATAATTGCAAACAATCCATATATCTTTTTTTAAGTAAAAAAATTATAACAAAACATCAAAAGAAAAAAAGCAACGAAATAATTTCAGATTGCATGGTGAAAGAAATTTGTAAGCCTGTTGTGCCTTTAAATCCTCCTGTTTTCTCCACAAAAATATATAATTATGACTTAAAGATGAAGAAGACTTATGATTAAAAGCTACTGACCCACACATGGTTTCTTATTTCAAAAGGGAATGTCCTTGACTACTATATCTGTTTACAATACACATGGAAATAGCTGTTTTCTTTTTTCAAACAAAAAATGTATTAGTACACTGAAATTTAGTTTCATAATAAAGGTATAAACCTTTAGTTCATTTTTTATTCCTTTTGATGCGCTTTTTCTAAAACACTAGTCACTTTGTTTGGGAGAGTAGCTTTAATTATTAGATTTTGATTTTGCCTTTTCATTAAAAAAAATTTCCCAGTGGTCAAATATATAGTTACATAAGATATTATTATGCTGTATATAACCTATTAACATGATGTTTTTATTAAGAGACCTGGTCAAATGAAATATTTAGATACTGAATTTGATAGCAACAAAAATGTCTTGTTTTTCAATTTATAAAGACATAGACGCCATAGAGTAATTAAGCGTTTCATTTGGCCATTATTATTGACAAAAATACATGTAGTAATTAGGTTGCAGTGTATATTTTCAGATAAAATTCCAATGTAAGCATTGACTTAAGCAATGATTTTTTGAGCACTGAATGGAGGTTTATAATCGTTGTTACTTGTAGGGGTTAGAGTCGATGACTTCTAATCCAGTTACCTCCCTGGTATGGGTTCGATCCCCAGGAGATGCTTTGGTAGTTTAGCACGGAGGAAGGTAGTCTAGTACTGGTGTAACTCTCCAGGAACGATGGTCAGGAAATTACCCGCCTATATGACTGAAATACTGTTTGGAAAAGGCGTAAAATGAAACAAACAGAAGCAAGTCTTGTTTTTTTTTTTTTAAATACCAGTAATAACTTCTACATCTCCGCTTGCCATAAGTTTTTGAGAAATGTTGTATTACTGGTAGTGTGAACAAACCATTTTGCCATGATCAACTCTAATCTTAGATGCTCAATATAGTAAATATGTGGTTTCCTTTAATATTTGGAGGTTTAGAATATTCTTGTATTAACATTACCCTTTTAGATCTTTTTATGTATATATGAAGACATTTGTACTCTGTTTTTATTGATAAAAAGGCAGCAGCATAAATTTGTTTAATGTGAATTTTATTATTCTCTATTGTGCTATTTATTTTCATAATTTTATGCAGTTTTAATGCATTTTTTGTTATTTGAGTTTGTGAATAACATGCATTTATAAATGAAATTGTTTTAATATCTGTGAATGTTACGTTCCAAAGGGATGTTTTTTAAGAGATAATATAAAGTTTTGGAGCCATTTTTCATAGAAAGCCCAAGTCAAGATTCTTAAAAAAATCTTACTAAACCAAGTTTGGCTTAACATACAGATAGGAAGGAAATTTTTAGCAATACAGTAAACATTTACTTTTATGTTGGTATTTTATTGTGTATCTTAGTGTGTATATAGTTCTTTTCTTTAGAATTGATTTTTACTATATTTATTTTATTTCCTATTTTTTTCTGTGTTATTTTTTTATGTCTGTACACCAGTACGAAAGCATTTAAATTTAGTTTGTTTATATCTGTATAAGTGCATTTATAAATCCAGTAGAACTGTATATATGTATGTGCTTATATACATGTAGATTCTAGTTATGTTACAGTACATACTTGTTTTGTATTTGTGTTAGTGATTGGTGAAAGGAAAAATGTGCTTCGTATTCATATCCTCTCTTAAATAAATACTGTTTTATATAAATTCTTTTTTTATCATTTTTAGCACCATGCACTTATGATTTTATTGGAATGATGACTGTCCATTGTACATTGATTCAAATGGCATCTCTGAAACTGATGGTCTAAATTAGATCTTACTTGCCTCGGATGTGTCTTGCATAAAGCCCTACCAATGTTTATTAGTCCCCCTACCGGTTTAACCGGAGGGGATTTTAGGTTTACCCTCCGTCCGTCCGTCTGTCAGTCCGTCCGTCCGTCCGTCCACAAAACTTGATATATGGATAGATGGTGGTATGGAGATTATGCACGTCTTTTTCTTTTCTTCCTATGTTGAAAATTCTGGTTGCTATGGCAACAAATAGACTGAAAATATGGCAAATTTAACACATAAACTGCATCCAGTAATAACTCAAAAAGTACTGAAAATATTTTTATGAAACTTAAAATATGGGTAGATGGCAGTCTGAAGATTATGCACATCTTTTCTTCCTATGTTGAAAATTCTGGTTGTTATGGCAACAAATAGTCTGAATTTCAAGATTTCTGATTTAAATTTTTCAGCTTTTTCACTATAAGTTCTTTATTTCTTAAGATGTTTTCTTCAAAGTTTAAATATAAGTTTCTGGTCATCAACCACATCATATGTGACTAGGTTTACAACTCTAGCACAAAAATTATCAGTATTACCTCCCTTGAACTTTGAATTTTTATGAAAAAAAAATGTTGTCTTTTTTAAATAACTTCTTTATTTCCTAATGTATCTACTTTATGTTTCTTATTATCACTCAACATTTTTGAGAAGGTTAAATACTCTAGCAAGACTTTTTCCAGAATTATGTCCCCCTTGAACTTAGATTTTTTTCGAGAAATTGGTATTTTTTACTCCAACTTCTTCATTCCTTATGGGATTTACTTTAAAATCCCACACTGTAATAATATGACAAGGTTGTATAAACATAATTTCCTTACTAGGCAGGGAAACTTAACACATTACTGTGAAATAGACAAACTTAGAACTCAAAAGATTTAAGTTCATTCATGTCGTTCATTCACTGATAAAATTGAAATCAGAATGTTGCTGGGGTTCTAACCATTAGGGGACTTATGGATTGCTTGCAATACTATGATAATTGCTTGTTTTTAAATGCAGGCTGTCCAGCGTCCCTAAAATTCCTAAAAAATCCTAATTTTTTTCAGTTTGGCTAAAATTCCTAAAAAAATGAAAAATTCGAAGGGAATTCCTAAAAAAGCCCTATTTTTTCACTTAAATTCCTATTTTTAGCTCGACTTTTCTATGAAAAGGGGAGCTATCCTACTCGCCCCGGCGTCGGCGTCGGCGTTAGCGTTAGCGTTGGCGTCACACCTTGGTTAAGTTTTTCGTACCACCCCACTTTATTTCAGAAGTATTACAAGTATGGCTTTGAAACTTACCATACTTGTTCACCATCATAACCTCCATCTACAGACAAGAGTACATAACTCTGTCAAGGTTTTTGACAGAATTATGGCCCTTTTTTGACTTAGAAAGTGTATTGAGCTTGGTTAAGTTTTTTGTACCACCTCACTTTATTTCAAAACCATTGGAGGTATTGCTTTGAAACTGACCATACTTGTTTACCATCACGACCTTCATCAACAGACAAGAGGACATAACTCTGTCAAGGTTTTTGACAGAATTATGCCCCTTTTTGACTTAGAAAATACATTGAATATGGGTAAAATCCACTTATTGCCTTAACCCTTTGAGATATTGCTTTGAAACTTTTAATGCTATTTCACATCATTACCCCCATCTGTACGCAAGAGAAGGTAACTCTGTCAAGGATTTGTTTTAAAAATTAAGGCCTTTTATCGACTTAGAATCTTGGTTAAGTTTTTAGTACCAGTCCACTTTTTGACTGAACTGTTTGAGATATTAATTTGAAAGTTGGAATACTTGTTTACCATCATGGTCCCAAAACATGGGCAGGAGAAGGTAATTCTGTTAAGGATTTTATTTGAATTATGGCCCTTTTTTGACTTAGAAACTCAGTTAAGATTTTCATTCTTGTCCACTTGTTGACTTAACCATTTGAGATATTACTTTGGAAGTTGGAGTTCTTATGTGCCATCATGAGACCTATCTGTAAGCAAGAGAAGATAACTCTGTGAAAATGTTTCTTGATTTGTACTTAGAAATTCCTAGTTAAAGTCTTGTGTGCCCTTAACTGTCAAAGTTTTGTTTTATAGGCAAGCACTAAAAAAGTCGAGCGCGCTGTCCTTCTGACAGCTCTTGTTTTTTATCTTTTGATATAAACATATCGCGAAACAACCATGTTTCAATCACAACTTAAATTCGAACACAGTGACAGTGGAGCTGAAGTCATGTCTGACTAAATTGCATAAAGTCACATGTTGTATTTACTTCAACTCCTGCAGAAATGCCATAATTGATTTATTGTCAGATGTTATCAGAAAAATAATAAAAAACTGTTTGTTTTAAATGGAACAATGAAAATTGTCATACTTTGACTATATCAAAGTAGTCACCTGTTTAAAATTGTGATAAATATATTTCGGAGGAAGTTACATTTTTATTGCCTACAGAGTTTTACCATTTACCTCAGTCGTAGGTGTATTTAAAGCAACTATTTACATGATGAACCACTAAATTTCAGCAAACTTTATGTAGGGGTCCTTATTAATAAAATCTTAATTTATAATCTTAATTTATAATCAAGTTACCTGTAGAACAGATCTTTTGTAAGAGATACCAGCTGGCAGATCTAGACAAGTTTCCATTGCTAATAATAAAGTGGGTATAAGGTAAACTGGCAGTAATGATTGGATGCTTTTAACCATTTTGCTACCTAATTAGGGTACTTAAGTGACAGCTTCAGCTGCTTTTTTTGTACACATTAACATGTAATGAACATATGTTATAACAAATAGTGTAATTTTTTTTAAAATCTGGAAAAAAAGTGTTAAAAATCATTGAAAAAACTGACATTGTTGTGAATTTTTCTACAATTTTTAGTAGCCTGATTTATCTTGAACAAATTCTTCAGAGGTGTATACCCTGCTGTTTGAATTTAAGTTTTAATATTCCTGGGAATGACTTGAGTGGGTCAAATTGTTAAAAAAGATCAAGACTTGTTGAAAATGTACCAACCTTAAAATGAATAAATGTTGATAATAAATGCATTTGTAGCTAAAAGAAATCTAAAGCATAATTTCCCCTTCCATTTATTATTGGCTAATCATAGCTAATTGAACTAATTGAATATTGGTTGTTCCGGGATACTTTTAAGTTTGAAAATGTTTTCATTCTAGTTATGTTTTAATGTAGTTTTTCAGCTCTTTTTAAAGGCAGTTGACCAGTGAAACCATTTCTTCACTGGTGACTTTGGAACACTGGTAACAACTTTGCTATAACCAAACTAGAGCATTATTTGTGAGTTACTTTTGTGTCAAATATGCAAAGTTGAGACCATATCATGGTCTTTTGAGGCCATAATTTAGTTATGAAATTCCAAATTTTAGCCCTAAAATTTCTTTTATTTACCCTAAAATTCCTAATTTAAGCCCTAAATTTTTGTAAAAATTGCCCTAAAATTTGCCCTAATATTTTGTCAGAAGGTGCTGGACAGCCTGTAAATGATTCTGGCCTATTTCATATTTTAATCACAGGAAGTATAATCCATTTTTATGCTCCCTGGAGGGTGAGCATATAGTCGCCGCTTCGTCTGTCGGTCCACTTTTCTTGCCCGGGACATGACTGAAACAACAAGAGGTTTCAATTTGAAACTTCATAGGTAGATAGATCTCATTGGGTAGATGTGTAATGCACAAGAACCATAACTGCCTTGCTTTATTTTGGAGTTATTGCCCTTTGTTCAATTTTACACTTTGAACTTTGTCTGGGACATAACTCTAAAACTGTGAGAAATATCAACATGAAACTTTGTAGGTAGATAGATTTCATTGGGTAGAAGTGCACTGCAAAAGAACCATAACTCTGTTTAAAATTGGAGTTAACTGCACATTGTTCATTTTTTTCACTTTGAACTTTCTCTGGGACATTACTGTCAAACTACAATAGGTATCAACAAGAAACTAAGTCGATAGATAATTCTCTTTGAGTAGAACTGCAATGCAAAGAACAGTATCTGCCTTGCCTTATTTTGGAATTATTGCTCTTTGAACTTTGTCCAGGACATGACTGACACTACAAAAAGTAATCTTTTCTGTGTCCAAAACCTATTGTGGGAGCAAATTGTTCAAAAAATGGAATATTTAAAAATCCAAAGTATCTCGACAACTACTGGACAGATTCTGATGAAATTATAGTATAGGTATAAGCTTATTAGGAAATCTTTATCCTTTGCTGTGCTAAATATATTAAATGAACTTGTCCATTTTTAAATCTGGACAAAACTATTAAAATAATTTTTATGAAAAATTTCAAAATCTACTAACTGATGATCAAACAATGCAGACCAAGATAAGATGGCACAGATATGTTGGTTGTATGGGAAGACTGTGTTGCTGTTAGCAGACTAGGAGTTGTAATATCAGCCCCATCTTCTGGTGTGTGATTAAAAGTCCATCACAGCTTTCTTGCTTGATTTATATCTCACCTAGCACAATGTGTCTGAGTGCATTTACCAGTGCTTTCATATTTCCTATATGACTTCTCTGGTGTTACAGAGTCAATGATGGTAAAACTAAGGAAATATCATTGCATGTAGTACTCTCATACTTGTATACAATTAATTTCATTTCCTGCAGAACTGAAATGGCAGTCAGATGAAAACTTCTGAAATCACAAATAAATGTGCAGCACTTTACTGTTGAACACCTTCAAATCTAGATCAAGCATAGTTTTGTGTTGGGTTTTAAATAACCTTTTACTATGCCTTTTAGAATTTCTAGCTCAAATTAAGACCTTTGGTACAGTTTTGTACAGAGTCTTGAACTATGAAGGTAACAATCATGACCAAGTGATTGACTTTAAAAAATTTTCAGCTCTTTAATTTTAATCATTTTCACATGTAAGTGGTATACATGTAGAACTCTCGTCATATTATCAACAGTTTGGCTAGGTGAATGTAAACCTTGAATTCTATGAGCATGATATTGTCCTTAGCTAACTAGAATAAGTATTAAAATGAGATAAATAGTACATACAATATTGAAAGAATTGAATCACTGCATGAGGAGTCGACTGTAATCAATAATAATTTGTTATTACATTTACTATATTTTAATTGCAGCTACACACCGGTAAGTGTTAAAATTTGTTTTTTCCCCCTTAAAAAATACAGTTATAACAGTGCAAAAGCTTAAATAACTTATTTTAAACTAGTATATGTATATCCTATTTTACTAATTTAATATTGGCTAATTGTCTTTCATTTTCTTTTTTGGAATTATTTATAGAAATGCCCAATCTTTGTTAGTCCAGTGTTTGGTTTTGTTGGGGGATGTATTCATTTAATGTTGTCCTATTTGTTCATTGATCTTTGTTACGTTTTTTTGGCAGTTGAGAAACATTATCAATTGGAAATTGTGAACACTTTCATGTTAATTTAGTACATATGCAGTTTGGGACACATTCTATCCAGGGTCTTTCTAATATACTATACTGCAGTATTGTATTTTAAACACTTTTTTAGAATATGTATCATAGGATATGACTGCAGAAAGGTAGTTCTAAAAAGTTTTAGAGATATTTTAGATGTATTTTGTATATTTGAGTCATAAAATAAACATATTTCCCTTTCGTATAAATGGTAATTTTCGCTAAATATTTTTTTTTCGCTAATAATCATTTTTACTCCATGTCTTGTAAACGAAAGATAACGAGATTCAAGCGTCTATCAAATGTTATTTGTTTTGACAACTTACAGCAATAAAAGCATTTTCTTGTGGATGAAAGAAAAGAAATCCCTAAATGTAAGACATATGTGTTGATGCTATTACACAGATTTTGTATGAATTGTTTTCAATGCTGAAAAGCTTTTTTTTTTCGTGTGAATAAATTAACTTAAAGTTGAACCGCTTTCGGATGAGTCCGAATAAGGGATTTTACCTAAAATACTAGCAGACTACCTCAATGATGTAATTTGAATAAGGACTTTTTATTTACCTAATTGTATAGTGTCATGTTTTCTTGCGTTTAATTTGGAAAAAACTACTTTGACCAATGATTAAACAATAAGACATTCATTACAAACATAAGCAGGTCTAGGATTTCATGATATTTATGGACAGTGTAATTTTTGGACAATCCATAATTTTATAGATTTTTTTATACAGACATTAAATAAGAAAATAGTAGAAGTGGCATTAAAATTCAAAACCACAGGTTAAAATGAATAAGTCTATGTATTAATTGATTAAATGTATCACTATTGTAAGATTCAGAACAATTTGATTCACTTTTAACAAAAATTTCAAAATCATCATACAAAGATCAAACTCACTCCATTACCTTTGTAAACATAAACAATCAATAAAACAACTTGTTTTAAGCTGCGGAATTTAGTGTAAAACTAAAAACAGCAAATTCCACATTGAATATCGATTGAAAAATCTTTAAATTTCTAGATACAATAATCATAGATAAATAAAGCCCTATAAAAAAAACCCCTGTTTTTCACTATTTATTTGGACAAGTGAATTTAGCTGCATACAAGTAGAAATTTTAGTCCAACTTGTCCCTTGGCAAGTGGAAAAAATACAAAATTACACACCTCTGTCCTATCTGGAGGTCTGCAGTTTTTAATAAAAAAGTGTCTTTAGAAATTAATATGTTTCAATACTTCAGTGTTTATGTATTTCTTTATTTTCAGAAAAGATAAATTTGATTTACACTGCCAAATATGAAGAGAAATTTATCAATATCAGTGGACTTATCTAAGTAAGTTGTGATTTAGTTCTGTAATTATTACAACATGTAACTAAAAATAATAAATTTTTATCTAGTATTTGTATTAAACTGCTACTAAATTTTGTTGACAAAAAAGAAAGCAAATCTTTGTAAGTTCCTGGCCTAGGTAATATTATCTTGGACTTAATAATTAGGATTTTTATCATTTGATTAAACAAAGAGAGAATACCAGCTTTCAAGCCTTTCTACACTTAGAATAATGGGGTACAGTCTGTTAAGATTCTGATTAATGTTGTGTGTTTGATTTAACTGTATTGACATTATTAATATAGGATGAAAAATAGACGAGCAAAGCATGGTGAGCATTATCAGCCAACAGATGTGGAACATATAGCCAACATGATTACTCATGGGGTAATGTTTTAAACTAACATATTATCATGTTTATATCCCAGGTTATAGTATTCAATGACAAGTTGGTGCCAATTGATTATATATTGTAAATGTACCCCCAAAAAATGGGGGGGGGGGAATGGAACAATTTATTTAGACAAAACATGATTTCAAATGCTAATGGAAATTTTGAACATAATAAAGAGGAGTGCTAATGGATATTTTCCTAAACTTAATATCATACATTTGAATATACATATATAATATGTTTTTCCAGATGCAATGTATAGATTTATCATTGTATACAATTCAAATTAATATATTTAAAGAAATTGTCATAAATTTAACATCATGCATAATATTTATTTAGTAGAAAATTGCTTAGAATCACAGGCAGACATTTAAATATGACATACCTTTCTTTTACCCGCACTATAGCATAATTTGTTGTCATTAGTTATTGTATGGTTTTTATTCCATTAAAGAGAAATTTCATTGCACACCCTTTTCACATTTTGGACATTTAAATTTATAACAAATGTGACTGTTTACATGACATTTTGGTTCACTTTCATACTGATTACATGAACTTAAAAAAGCACTTACATTATTTTAGATTCACTCACAACTTTTGCTTTTTTTTCATTTTTAGCTCGACTTTTCTATGAAAAGGGGAGCTATCCTACTCGCCCCGGCGTCGGCGTCGGCGTTGGCGTTGGCGTCACACCTTGGTTAAGTTTTTCGTACCACCCCACTTTATTTCAGAAGTATTACAAGTATGGCTTTGAAACTTACCATACTTGTTCACCATCATAACCTCCATCTACAGACAAGAGTACATAACTCTGTCAAGGTTTTTGACAGAATTATGGCCCTTTTTTGACTTAGAAAGTGTATTGAGCTTGGTTAAGTTTTTTGTACCACCTCACTTTATTTCAAAACCATTGGAGGTATTGCTTTGAAACTGACCATACTTGTTTACCATCACGACCTTCATCAACAGACAAGAGGACATAACTCTGTCAAGGTTTTTGACAGAATTATGCCCCTTTTTGACTTAGAAAATACATTGAATATGGGTAAAATCCACTTATTGCCTTAACCCTTTGAGATATTGCTTTGAAACTTTTAATGCTATTTCACATCATTACCCCCATCTGTACGCAAGAGAAGGTAACTCTGTCAAGGATTTGTTTTAAAAATTAAGGCCTTTTATCGACTTAGAATCTTGGTTAAGTTTTTGACTGAACTGTTTGAGATATTAATTTGAAAGTTGGAATACTTGTTTACAATCATGATTCCCAAACATGTCCAGGAGAAGGTAATTCTGTCAAAGATTTTATTTGAATTATGGCCCTTAACTGTCAATGTTTTGTATTATAGGCAAGCACTAAAAAACTTAAAAAATCTAAAAAAATTCATTCCTATCCACTTGTTCACTTTACCATAAATTATGTCATAATAAAATAATTCTTCACAAAATATCTTAATGCTCATGGCCATTGTTCACTTTAAAAATACAGAGATTCTTGTATTGCCTTTTACTGCAAAAACTTTTTTTATTGGCAAGCAATAAAAAAGTCGAGCGCGCTGTCTTACGGACAGCTCTTGTTTTTTTTAAACTTATTACTTCACAGTTATTTTACCATTGTCTATTGTGATTCACCATTTAGCTTGTCTTTTCAATATCTATGTTATACATGTATTATATTATATGTGATATTAATTTTTTATATCATTAAAATGCCAAAATTCTTATCAGAAAATGATAATAATTGGTACAAAATTAATAAAGACTTGATAAACTAATTAACAATTTTTATATAAAACATTTAGCATGTTATGACATCAATTCACTGATTTCTCTGGAATAAGATATTTCAATACTCATCTTCTATGTAACTACATGTATTTACACCCCTGTTGAAGGCATTAAAGGTGTATGCTACAGCTACTAATAAACATTTAGACAGAATAAAAAAATGTATAGAAGTAATGTAAACTTTGCATGGTCTGGGAATATGATAACAAGGTCATCACTGTCATTTTCTAGTTTCCTGCCCTTGAAATAAGCAAAATTTTCAAATGCAAGGGCAGATAACTTAAAAATGAGCTTGGTGACCCCCACATTGTTTCCGCTTAAAATTAAAAAAAAAAAATTCGCAATCAAGGTTGGCAAGATCTTATTTGTAGTTGACAATCTTTCAATTTATTATGCAAAATTTCAAGAATCAAAAACTAGCTTGTTATTTCTTCTTCTTTTTATTACCAGACCTATATTAATTTTCTTTAAAAATATGGCTTATTGTTAAATAGTGTTGTCCCGATTGTCTCTGAAAATCGATAACTAATCGGATCACCCCAAAATCGGCAACAATCGATAGTCCTTTTTAACAATCGATTATGTTAATGTTCTACCACCGCTGAATTGCCTAGGTCATAACTTTTTTACACGCGGTCAAATAGAAGGTTCCTGACCAATACTCTTTAATTCCAGAGGATCCTATAGTCTTTTTTGTTTGCCTTATCAAAATGAAATTACGAGAAAAAACATGGCTATGAAATAAGTGGGCAATTTGAACGACTTTGTTTTCTGAACATCAAAGCAAATTATCTTTCACCTGTCACAAAGTAGTATTAGGTATTTGTGTTGTTTGTTTTGTTGAATTCAAAGAGTAAATCTTTACTTCAATCAAGGAGACAAGAGCTTATTTATTCTCAAAATATGGTCACTACTGTATAAAAAAAATACATACAAGGATTGGTACCTTAAAAGAAAAAGGGCCAAAAAAAAAAATTGCAAACTCGATTATACTATCGGAAGACAATCGATTGTGGTGATCCGATTATCGATAGTGATTTTTGAGTCCGATACCCAACACTAATGTTAAAGGATTTTTAGTCTCTTTACATAAAAATTTAGGACACAAATGTTAATTGAAATTCAGTGAAATGTTGTATTGTCAACTTAGAATAAAAAAAAAAAAAAAATGAATTCTATTTGTACTGTTTTTCATTATAATGTTAACAATTTATATGTGGCATAAACCTTTAAAAAGTATGGGAGGTGTGTTTTAATTTTTAAAAGTTTTTTGGCCATTTTTTTAAAAAATTTAAATTTTAAATTGCTCCAAAAGAAAAGTTTTTGAAATTTTAACCTAATGTATTTTCTTGGGAAAAGAGAATATTTTTGGTTGGGTAGTTTTTATATGAAAAAATTACCCCTCAAAATTTATCCCCAAAAATTAAAGGGGTTTTTTAATTTAAATTTTTAATCGGGAACAAATTATATTATATGTTTTGGGAAATTATGGAAATGGAAATTTAAAAAGGGAAGAAAAATCTAATTTTCTTAAATTTTAATATTTTTAAATACTTTCCCCTTCCCCCAAAAGTTTTTTTAAATTTAAAAAATTTTTTGATGAAAAACTGGTAAAAATTTTTTGAAAAAAATTTTCATGTTTTCTATTTTTATAAAACCTTAATTTCAGTTTGTTTTTGTTTTTGAACTTTGGGTGAAAACCCTTTTTAATTTGTTTTTTAATAGGTTTTAAAAAGCAGTGGTTACAAATAAAAAGGGCCCTTTAAAAATAGGGGGTTTTTTCATTTCTTGAAAAATTTTTGGTAAAATTATCCAGACTTTTAAAAAAATTTTCCTTTTGAGGGGTTTTTTAGGGGCCCAGCCAGGCTTTTTTAAATTTTAAAAAAAAAATGAAACATTTCAAACAAAAGCATATTTTAGGTGGGGGCATTTTCAAAAAAATATTTTTTTTTTGTTTTCAGCAATTTTTGGATGGGTTTTTTTTTGTAAAATTTTTTTTTAAAACTTTTTTGGGAATTTTTTTAAGAACCGGAAAAAACAAAATTTTTTGAAAATTCTTTTTTTTGAATTTCTTTTTTTTTAAATTTAAAAGTATTTAAGAAAATTTTGTTTAAATTTCCCCTTAAAAATTGGAAAAGGTGTAGAATTTTTTTCATTTTAAATTCATACTTTTTTCTATATTTTTAAATTTTTCCCTTTTATTAGATTTGGATTTTCCCTAGCCCTTTTAATGGCAAAAAAGGATGACAAAAAATGTTTACCCCCCAAAACAAAGAATTTTGTCCCCTAATGTTTTTTATGGAGGATTTTTTTCTTTTTTTTTTCCCATTTTAAATTTTTATAATTTTTTTCCTGTTTCCCGGGGTGCGGGGGGGGAAAGTTTAAATTTTGGGCGGATATTCATTTTTTTTTAAACAATAGGGGAACCCGCGTAAAGGAAAAAACCAACAAAAGGGGGGTTTGGGGGACCAGATGGATCCAGCCCGGGGGGGGCGAATGGCGCCGGGATAGGTTTCCAGTTTGGGGTTTCGTATCATTTTTTCTCTATTGTTATAAAAGTTTGTAACCCAAAACCAGCATGGTTTCCTGATCAGAACTGCGGGGGTTTTGCGCAGGCGGGGCCCTTGGACCCATGTTTGTTCGAAACCCCTTTAAATTTTTTGGTTTTTTTTTCGTAAACCACGGTTTCATTTTTTTTTTAAACCCTTTTTCTCTGCGGGAAAGGGAAAAAAGGGTTGTTTAAAAGGGGTTTTGACAAGTAAAAAACCCGGGTTTAAACCCCTGCAAAATCCATGCAGCCCTGACAAGGCCCCCTTACCGAGGGGGTTTAAATTTTTATCACCCTTTGGAAATCTCGGAAAAATTTATTAGGGAAATTTAAAAAAAAAAGGGAAAGTTTGGGAAAATTTTTTTTAAAAAAAAAAATTAGGGGGGGGTTTTGGTTTGAATATTTAAGTTAATTGTTTTTAAAGGGAAATTTTTATTTTTTTATATTTGGTTTGTAACACAAATTTTAAAATTTTTTAAAAAATTTTAAACACAGTTTTGAATTATTACTAAGGATCAAACCCCGGGGCATGGTGCAAATGTTTTGTAAAGAATTTTTTCAAATTTAAAAGGAAATAGGGGGGATTTTTAATTTATTTAATTGGCATTTTTAGCCTTAAAGGGGTTTTGGTTGGGTTTTTTTTAATTTAAGGTTTAAAAAATTTTGCCATTGTTTTGACTTTGGGGTATTTTTGTTTTTTAATTTTGCAAAAACTTTTTAAAATCTTTTTTTTGGTGTTTTGTTTTAAAGGGTCATTTTAAAAACTTTTTTTATATAAAAATTTTTTTTTGGGGCAGGGGAAATTTTTTAAGTTCCTTTTTTAACCTTATTTCCCTTCTTTCCCCTCTTAAAGAAAACTTTTTTTCCCAGGAAAAAAAAAATGGGCACAAAATTTTTTGGAAAAAATTTTTTTTTAAAAAGATTTAAGGGGGGTTTTTTAAAATTTGTTGATTTAAATTAAATTGGGGACAGTCAGGGGTTAATCTAATAAATTTACTTAAATTAAAATAAAAATGAATCAATTTGAAATTCCCAAAATATTTTTTTTCCCCTTTAAAATAATAACCCCAACCAGTTAAGGTTACGGGTTAAATTAACCTTTTTTCATTTTTTAAAATTTAAAAAATAATTTTCCATATTCCCATTTGGAATAAAATTGTCCCAAAAAATTGATTTTAGGGGCCCAAAACAAATTTGTTTTGTTTTGTTAATTTTTTTAATTTGGGTTTTAACGGGAAATTGGCCAAAATAGAATAAAAAAATATTTTGTACATTTGCGCCCTTGTTTTTGTTTTTTTGATGAAAAAAACTTTTTTAAAGGATTTTTTACATTTTTTTTTCCACATTGGGGGGATCGTTTTTTGCCCAATTTTATTTTTCATAGATTTCATAACCCCAATGGAAAATTTGGGTTTTCTAAAAAACATTGCAACTACATTGAAAGCTTTTTATTTTTAAAACCTTAAAAAGCACCCCCCTTTTTTGGAGACGGAAAATTTTGATTGTTTTTTTTTAGGGGTTTTTTTGGTTTTCCAAAGAGTTTAAATTTGGGCCATGTCAGGGAAAAAACCAAAAAAAGGGGTTTTTGGGGGCCCGGGAAAGGGAAACCCAAGGCCCACCCTGGGGCATGGGGCGAGTCGGGATCGGGTATGCTTTTTGCTAGAATTAGTTTTTTCTACTTGTTTTGGGGGGTTTGGTTAAGCTTTTACAGAATGGATCCTGAATAGACTGCGCGGATGCGGCAGGTTGGTTTGGATCCATGCTTGTCGAAATGATTTGTGGGTTTTGGTTTTGGGTTCATGAACACGGCTTCAAATTAACTTAAATGTTTGTGAAGTTTTAAAACTTTTTAAGGAAAAAAATTAATTCAGTTTTTGTTTATATAAAAGGTATTTGCTGTACAGAGAGCTGTTCTGCAAATGAAACACTATTGTCAGGGTTTTAATTATTAATAGATTGACGATACATACCATTAGTTGAAATGCTGTTAAAAATCGGTTGTATTTTCTGCCTGTAGATTAAAATATCCCCCTTGTTCCCCGGACAAATTTGTTGTTTTCGTTGGCACATCTTTTGCCTCAGATAAAAGTGAAAACTTGTTACACAGATGATATAAAAATGCTGTCTCAAAGATAGATTGGACAATATAGTGATCTTTACTGTTTCAGTTTATATCTTTTTGTTCTTTTGCAGCCCATTCTTTAAATTTGAAAAATTAAACTTGAACAAGTATATGTTGTTTTATAACAAATTTATCAACAATAAACATTGTCGGGTATAGCAAAAGTTGGAATTTATAACACCATTTAGTATGATTTTTTGATGTTCACATGTCTATATGCTTTTTTGTATTTACTTCACTTCTATTTTGTTGTTAATTTTTTAAGCAAATCGTTTCTTTATGTATGGTTTAGTATAGTGTGCATACAAAATTTGAAGAAGTGAACAAATCATTGATAGTTTTTTTTTCAATTTCAGGTTGGTTTTGAAAGATTTTGGTGGTGTTGCGGAGTTTTTTATGTGGATTGTGTGGGTAGGTTGTATCCTGGGGATTATATTCCAGTTGTTGTTTCATGCAAGGTTAGTCATACATGTATTATATACTTATAAATGAAATATTGATGAAATAAGATGTGTATTTTCATTTTTGTATATTCACAGTAAAAATTTATTTTTCACTGCAGTGAAATATATTTTCTGTATTTTCACTGGTGTCTTGCTGATTTAATTTCTTCTAAATTCAGTCAATAAACAAAATTTAAGGGGTTCTTTCAAATTTTAATGTAAAAAAAAATAGAAAAATGTACATGTATGTTATCAGCAGAAAGTTCAAGTTTTTTTCTATAAATACAGGATATATTTCATAATAATATTTCATCTTCTGGTATGAAAATTGTCATATTTCACTCTTGGCTACTGACTCTCATGAAATATTTATTTTCATACCACTCAATAAAAATAAAAATCCTGTATTTATAGAGAAAAACTTTAAAATCCTCACTATGTTGTATGGTTATAGTCATACATGCATATATTGTACGTCAGTATGATATTCACTGTGATTGTGTGGAAGTTTTCCAGGGATTGATTATTTAACAAAAAAAAACAACAACAGTGCTTCTTTCAGAATTAAAAAACATATCAGTTGTCTTAAAATTTATTGCTACAAAGACAGGGGGGATATTTACAGCTTCGCTATATCCTGTAAAGCTTTATATAATTAAACCAAAGCATTTTGAACTAAGAGTGATATTTTGGATGGTTAATATGTAAATGAAGAAAACAAAACAGAAAAAAAAAATTTCATCCATGAAAAAGATAAAACAGGTGAAGTCAAGGTATAATTACCAAGTAAGTGCTATGTAAGGAAAGTTGTAATTATATTTGAGCCGCGTCAAGATAAAACCAACATAGTGCGTTTGCGACCAGCATGGATCCAGACCAGCCTGCGCATCTGTGCAGTCTGATCAGGATCCATGCTGTTCGCTATCAGTTTCTCTACTTGTAATAGAGTTGGTAAGCGAACAGCATGGATCCTTATCAGATTATGCGGATGCGCAGGCTTGTCTGGATCCATGCTGGTCGCAAACGCACTATGTTGGTTTTGTCATGGCGCGGCTCATTTATTTGTGACTAAAATTAAATTTTACTGCAACTGTCAGAATCACTACAGATTGGTATTATTGATTGATTTATGTTTCAGGTACAAGTCTCTGGAAGTAGTATTTTATATGATAGTTGGAATCTGTCCAGCTTATGCTGTGACACATATGGTGAGGAAAAAGTTTTTATATTAAATACAGATTTTACAAAAAAAAACACCATATTTTCTAATTGAATTTGTAAAGCTACTAACCCACATATAAAATAAAATATTTCAATACTTATAGCAGGATAAAAGTACTCATCTTTAAGTACCTAGAATTTCTTGGAGCAAGATACATATTAAGGATTTATGTTTATGTAAATGTATAAATTTATGGTGTAATTTTAATTTTTGAATCATGTTTTCTTAAAAAGATTCTAACCAGAATGTGTGGGATAGCAGTTTTAATATTTATTTGCTGACAATGCGTTTTTAAACTAATTTTGCATTTCCTATAATCTTGTAATTATAATGGTTCATACAGCACAAGAATTTTAAAATATGGAATGCCTCGGTCAATGTCTTTTGAAAGATTTCATTTAAATTCATGCCATCTGTGTGTGACTTGTGCATCAATGAAAATATTTTTTTCAGACATCTTGTAAATTGGTTATTTTAATTTTTCACAAAAATTGACTTAGAATTGCACTTTAAACAAGCTGTTGTTGACCTAAATATTTTATATGTGTATAATATTATTGCATTTCCTCTGCCATGCATCAAGTAATTTCTGGTCCAGAAATTGTCATAAAACCAAGCAAGTCTTTAAAGCAAATACTCAACTAGGTTACCGATTATTGAATTTTTCAACTGGTTTATCCTTTTAAACAGATAAATGTGACACCCCTAGTTAGTAACACAGTAGAAATATGGTGATAAATACTGCAAAATTAGTAATTTATCACACATAACATGTTAATTATGACTTGTATCTTGAACCTTTTTACTTTTCTTAAAATCTTAGTACATTTACAGTTTTCTCAAGTTTGATTTTCTTTAAATATTTTGGCTCATCAGGAGGTGTACAGCTTTAACTGTAACCAAAAATTTCTACTTTTTCATATTATTTTGCATTGAAATTTCAGACTGACCCAGCAGGAGTGCACGAGCTGGCTATAGGAGGTGTGATATATGTGTGTGGTGTTATATTCTTCAAACTAGACGGTGTTGTACCGTTTGCTCATGCTATATGGCATGTATTTGTTGGTCTTGGGGCATTAGCTCATTTTTATGCCATAAACAAATACCTTGTAGGTATACATGGTCCTAAAGAGTCAATCATTGATATAGATCAATTAACAATTTAATGATAGTATTAATTTTGTATAGGATAATCAATTTTCTTTTTTAGATGTTGTTATATTGTTTACTTTACCCATCTTTTTAAAAGATCCTTAACTTATTGACAAATATCTCATTTTTGTATGGACCAAGCATGCTTTTATTGTGTAGGTCAGCAGAATAAGATATTTGAGCCGTGTCATGACAAAACCAACATAATTGGTTTGTGACCAGCATGGTTCCAGACTAGCCTGCGCATCCGCACAGTCTGATTAGGATCCATGCTGTTCGCTATCAGTTTCTCAGCATGGATCCTGATCAGACTGCGCAGATCAGACCAATTAAGTTGATTTTGTCATGACGCGGCTCATTTAATGATAATATAGACATTGTTGTTGATATTTAAGTTAAGCTAAAACTTGTTTTACTGCTAGTTAGAGGTTGTTAAAGATTTATATGAATTTTATTATAATATATATATAAGTAGATCTACAAGAGTAATTTGCATACATGATTCACTCACTCCTCTTGGGTGAAAAGTTAAGAAAAATATTAAAGTACAAGAAAACCATGAGTTATCTGAGAGTGACATATCAATTATATTTCTTAATAAACCAGTTACTAAAATAGCTTAAATACAGACCTAAAGTCTAGATAATTTTATATTTCAATTAATGCATCTTGAGAGAATTTCAGTTTTTGCTAATTGAATTTTACAGTTCAACAATCTGTGGAGTAATTCAAATATGCTGTTTCTGAATTTGAAATTGAATTCTTATTAATTTTAAAAAAGTCTTTTGGCTAATGTCAAATCACAGGTTAAATCATTTTTTAAGACAGTAAATTGTTTCATTTACATAATAACTAATACATATATGGTACTTTATTAAATGTAATGAGGATATTTTTAGGAATAAACATTTAATAACTAAATTTATGATATGAATTAATGTAAATTAACTTTTAAGTGAACAAGAAAAAAAAGTGAACAAATACTTGTGAAATATTTAAACTCAAAAAGTTACTCTTGTATTTTAATATTTGTTTAAGCAGTGGTTTCTGTGATAAAGTTATAAAATTAATTAAGCTGTTTTTATCCTTAACCTGCTGGAACTGAAACTAATACACACATATGTGAACTGTATAGAGTCTAGACAGACTGCACATCCATGATGTTTGACCAGTCTCTATACTGTCAGAAGTGCATTCATTAAATACTGAGTTTCTTTGAATGGACTGTTCCAATTTCAGTTTAGGGAAAGTCCATTTACGCAGATTCAGCAGGTTAAGGGTAAAGTATGGTAGCTATTTAATAAATTTATCTTATGTCATCCTTTAGTGCTTAAGATTGTTACCAGTGTATTTTTTTAACCAGGTTTTCCGAAGGAAAAAACTGGTTATTAGATTGAGGTATGTCGGCGGGCGGGCGGATGGGCGGGCGGGCAGGCGGGCTGGCGGGCGTAAACAATTTCTTCTGTGCGCAACTCCTTCTACATTTCTCAACGGATTTTGACCAAACTTTCACAGAAGCTTTGTCATCAAGTGCCCTGGCGCATATTGTCGGGGTTTTGCGATTGGATAATATTTGACCTAATTATGGCCCTTTGTTTTTTTTCCTTATATAGAATATATGGTGAACAATTTCTTCTGTGTGCAACTCCTTTTACATTTCTCAACGGATTTTGACCAAACTTTCACAGAAGCTTTGTCATCAAGTGCCCTGGCGCATATTGTCGGGGTTTTGTGATTGGATAATATTTGACCCAATTACGGCCCTTTGTTTTTTTTCCTTATATAGAATATATAGTGAACATTTTCTTCTGTGCTGAACTCCCTCTACAATTCTCAAGGGAATTTGTTCAAACTTTCACAGAATCTTTGTCATCATGTGCCCTGGCGCATATTGTCAGGGTTTTGTGATTGGATAATATTTGACCTAATTATGGCCCTTTTTTTTTCCTTATACAGAATATATAGTGAACAATTTCTATCGTGCCCAACTTCTCCAACATTCCTCGAAGGATTTTGACCAAACTTTCACAGAAGCTTTGTTATCAATTGCCCTGGCGCATATTGTCTGGGTTTTGTGATTGGATAATATTTGACCTAATTATGGCCCTTTGTTTTTTTTCCTTATACAGAATTATCAATATACATGTATAGTGAACAAATTCTTCTGTGCTGAACTCATCCTACATTTCTCAACGGATTTTGTTCAAACTTTCACAGAAGCTTTGTCACCAAGCGCCCTGGCACATATTGTCGGGGTTTTGTGATTGGATAATTTTTGACCTAATTATGGCCCTTTGTTTTTTTCCTTATACAGAATATATAGTGAAGACTTCTTCAGTGGCAATTCCTCCTACATTATTCATGTTTTACATTGCACATAGTTACATTGTTTGTTGCTTGTATTTGTATCTCAAATACAACATATTTATCTACAATGGTGATAATTGAAAACCTGGTTTCATGGCATTGCCATGTTTCTTGTTTAATATTTATTTAGTTAGTTGATCTTTATTTACTTTATATTGTTAATAGTTGTCTTTTTTTTAAGTCAAGCCAGCTGGCTGTTTGTTTGACATAGTTATTTATCATACTGTCTAATGTAACTGCATCCTTCACTTACATATAGATTTGTTTGTATCAGCCATAACTCTGTCATTTACTATCAGTAACTTTATTGCTGAAAATACAGTATAAAGGAAGGGTGTTATTTATCATGTAATTTTCCTTGTGCATGACTTTGCCACCATTTCAAATGTTATATTAACGCAGCAATGAGTCAGAAGACAGTTAAATAGTGATCCATAGTCATCTTATATTTAAGTATATTTTTCTGTGTCTCAAAATTTAGTGAATTGCCACAAAATAGTTTTTTTGCTGTTTATTTATTATGGTATGCTGAGTTTCTTTTTTGTTTTTGACATAATTATAAAATTACCAGTACATTATTTTTGTAATGTATATTTTTGTAAAGATTATTGTCACTTTTGTATTTTTATTCACATGCCAGCCTTATGGCCTTTATCAAAATAATACAATTCTAGTACAATGGCTAGATCCTGTTGTCCTAGAACTATCATAGCAATAATATGATATTGTTCTAAGAACAACACAATGAAGCTGTTCTAAGAACAAAACAATGTAGTTGGTCTAAGAACAATACAATGTAGCTGTTCTGAGAACAACACAATGTAGCTGTTCTTAGAACAATACAATGTAGCTGTTCTAAGAACAACACAATGACGCTGTTTTAAGAACAATACAATGTAGCTGTTCTAAAAACAATACAATGTAGCTGTTCTCAGAACAATAAAATGTAGCTGTTCTAACAACAACACAATAAAGCTGTTCTAAGAAGAATACAATGTAGCTGTTCTTAGAACAATACAATGTAGCTGTTCTAAGAACAACACAATGAAGCTGTTTTAAGAACAATACAATGTAGCTGTTCTAAGAACAACACAATAAAGCTTTTCTAAGAACAGCACAATGTAGCTCTTCTAAGAACAACACAACATAGTCATTCTAAGAACAACACAATGTAGCAACTATACTGGGATTGTGTCATTTTGATAAAGGCCAAAAAAGGCAGAAATGTAAATAAAAATACATAAGGGACACTAAAACCCTTTTTTACAGTTATTAATACCCGCAGATTATGTCAGTGATATATATTTTTTTATAGACAATACATTCTGTCTCATTTTTATAGTATTGAGAAATCCTTAAACATTTATTACAGTTGTTGTTGAGATGTAATAAATGGCAGAACATGTTTTATTACCTGTATTTCCCATTAACACATTAACTCACACAATGTTTCTCAATTTGTAATTCTATTATTGGCATTATTATGACAATTTTCTAGCTATATCCTACACTATGACATGACATTTGTTTGACATCAGTGAAACAAAAATCGTAGTATACCAAACATGGTGTATTTATGATCAATTTATTTTACAGTTATAATGTCAGTAACACAAGCATTATGTGACACTGATAAAACAATATTCTACAATATGTTACTTAAGACTATGATTACTACTTAAACATTTTTCTATAATTTAGAAACTAAAATTAAAAAAATATATACTTTTTAGCTCACCTGTCACAAAGTGACAGGGTGAGCTTTTGTGATCGCTTTTCGTCCGTCCGTCCGTCGTCCGTCCGTGGTCCGTAAACTTTTACTTTAAATGACATCTCCTTATAAACCACTAAGCCAATTTCATCCAAACTTCACAGGAATGTTCCTTTGGTGGTCACCTTTTAAATTGTTCATAGAATTTAATTCCATGCAGAACTCTGGTTACCATGGCAACCGAAAGAAAAAACTTAAAATATCTTCTTTTAAAAAACCATAAGAGCTAGAGCTTAGATATTTGGCATGAAACATCTTCTAGTGAGGGTCTACCAAGTTTGTTCAAATAAAAGCCCTGAAGTCAAAATTGGCCCCGTCCCGGGGGGTCATTGATTTTCCCTATATGCATATAGTAAAAACTTAAAAAATCTTCTTTTAAAGAACCCAAAGAGCTAGAGCTAAGATATTGAGCATCAAACATTTTCTAATAGGTGTCTACCAAGTTTGTTCAATTAAAAGCCCTGGGGTCAAAATTGGCCCCGCCCCAGGGGGTCATTTATTTTCCCTTTATGCATATAGTAAAAACTTAAAAAATCTTCTTTTAAAGAACCAAAAGTGTTAGAGCTAAGATATTTAGCATGAAACATGTTCTAAAAAGTGTCTACCAAGTTTGTTCAAATAAAAGCCCTGGGGTCAAAATTGGCCCCGCCCCGGGGGTCATTGATTTTCCCTATATGCATATAGTAAAAACTTTAAAAATCTTCTTTTAAAGAACTCAGAGAGCTATGGCTAAGATATTTAGCATCAAACATGTTCTTATGGGTGTCTACCAAGTTTGTTCAAATAAAAGCCCTGGGTCAAAATTGGCCCCGCCCCAGGGGTCATTGATTTTCCTTATATGTGTATAGCAAAAACTTAAAAAATCTTTTTTTAAAGAATTCAGAGAGCTATGGCTAAGATATTGAGCATCAAACATGTTCTAATAGGTGTCTACCAAGTTTGTTCAATCAAAAGCCCTGGGGTCAAAATTGGCCCGCCCGGGGGTCATGGATTTTCTTTATATGTGTATAGCAAAAACTTAAAATCTTCATTGAAAAAACCCAAATAGCTAGAGTTTAGATATTAAG